CCATCCACCGTTTTGCCACTAAATTTTAAAATTTAATTGCATATCAATGTTATATGTATTGATGTATTCACTTATCCTGAAAATGATGTGCTCCCGTCAAATTCTGGATCCGCCTGTGCCCAAAAGGTTATCTACGCGGTCGATTTGTTTGTCTTTTATGACAACCCTCTCATATTCACTCTTTCTTCCTAATCATCTTCTTTATTTCAGATGTGTTAGTTCAAGATACTTTTTTCACAATACCTTATGGGCCTATAGAATGTTCCTGCCGGGGTTCCTGCTTACTGTATATGGTTAGAAGCGGTTGGCGCATCGGCTGTGGCTTTGACTCCCAAAATCGAGGTCGGGGTTCGAAACTCTCAGTGTGCAAATCGCCTGTGTCCTCTCTCCACCCAGGAGTATAAGTGGGTGCCTGGTAGGTTCCAACACAAATGCGCTGATTACTAGCAGCAATATAGAATAATAATATAATTTATCTTAATAATTTAATTTGGTGTTCAATGTGTTCCATATATGTTTGATCCAATGACTGGGTTAGTAATGTAAAGCGCTTAGAGGCTTTGTTAAGGCATTAAGCGCTATATAAGAACGACATATTATTATTATTATTATTATTACATTATAATTATTAATCAATCAATCCAGGCTAGCATTAATAATATCATCCGCAAACTTAATGAGACAGGGTTTCGTGATCTGTAGCCAGCTGTATAAACTGAATAGAAAAGGGGGAAGTAGTGTCCACAGAGGAGCAACTATATTGGACGATTATAACAAAAATTGTTTTTCTAAAAGCCACATTACATCCAGGAGCTTTTAAGAGAATATTGAATAAGAATAAGAAACGATGAATAAGACAATTTCAGGAACCTCTTTGTATAAAATGGAGGCTACATTCATTCTGGGATGGTATAGTAACTAAAAGGGTCAGTTGAGCATGACCGTTCATATTGATCATGGTCTGTCTACTTTGGCATATTATTACAATTACTGGCAAGTGAAATTATTAGTTATTACTGTAAACAAAAATGTAATATTATTGTTAATATTACTTTTATATTAATGCTTCGTACATCACATGTACGTATTATTATTATTACTATTATATTCATTTTTTTTGTAAATTTTTTGTAGTTGTGGATGCACAATTTTTATGTGTGCCGCGGGAACTAATGTGTTTCCAATGACATCTGAAATCTGACTGCAAAATTTGGCAATGTATTCGGCTTCCTAACAATGCTGCGTGTTAAGTTTTGATGTGCAAATGGTGGAACATCCAGATTCTTAACGACACCCAAACACATAAACCTAATTCATATCACGTGTAAAACCGCATCCCAATACACTGTCCAGTGAACCTGAACTACCACATAAGGCTGAATTACTACAATCATAGAGAAATGTTCTATTTTCTCTATGGTACAATGAACCACAGTAATTAATACAGCAGGATAGATTCCCTTTCTTGGGGAAATAAAACAATTCGTAAGGGAGAAAAAAACATGTATTTATTTTTACAGAATACAGTTCGCCCTCCAATTCAGAGACCACCTTCCGGACCTCAAAATTCGGGATGGTCTCGGGGTTGGTCTCCAATTAGAGAGCTATCTTAAGTTGTGTTAAAAGGTTGAAGGTTGTTATGTGGGTCTTTGGAAAAGTGGTCTCGAATTAAAGGGGTTTTGAATTGAAGGGTGCACTGTACACTTTATCAATAGCGGATTTAGGAATTTGAAAAAAAATGTGGGCCTATGGGGAAGGACTTTCACAGGGTCTGTACCACCTTAATAGCTCCACAGAGAACATTATGATTATGGCACCATGACCTGAAATGGCACTCTTTGAATATAATTTTCTTTTTCTCCATTTCATTTATTTATTTTTAATATAGCGGGTGGTAGCTTGAATCCGCCACTCATTAAATAAGCAGAACCCTTAAATTTTCATAGTTTAAGGGGATTCGCGTCCTTAGACCACTTCCGAGATTTTGAGTAAAGCCCGAGTATAAGCCCACTTACGCTCTCATTACAAACGTTGGCCACCACCGCCGGGAAAATCCTGGCGCCACCGGAGTTATTCAGTTACCATGTGCACAGATTCTTGCAAGTAATAGCTCCGGAACTGTACAGCCTCCGATGTCTGATTTTTAACTAAGAGTTCCTTAGTATTCTTACAAGGATATGCGTTTTAACGTTTGATTTATATGAATTTGGAATATGTACCATTATGAATACACCGATTCAATTCAATTCAATTTATTCCACTTGTTCAAAACCTGGTATATAGATGAAACGAGTAGGCTATATAGACCTAACAAAAATATCAGTACAAAGAAATAACAAAATGTAACATAATGAAATGTAGGACTAGTTACCACAAAGTAAGGGTCGAAGCCAGAAAAAATGTTGAAACTAAATTTCTAGTTTTTATAAACATATAGAAAGGCAACGTATGATTGCATAAATGTAATATTTGTTGATGTATGAGCATAATATGCTGTATATTTCGAAGCTGCTACCCCGTAAAATAACAGGTGTGAACAAAATATGCAGTTCCTACACACAAACCAATTCAAGTAGTTCTACTGTCTATAATGTAATGTAGCCCTAATAGATAGAGATCAACGTTTGAAGTTGATATTTAAAACATTCACATTTCCTTCTCTTTTTTTTGTAGAACTGTCGTTTTATAAATCAACTGATTAGCAAACTGTAAGCTAAAGAAAGATGGATTACTGTCATGGTAAAAATATATTTTTTAATTATTTATTACCTTATTATTTTCCCCAAAATATCGACCTGCCTGCAAAAGAATGCCAAGCACTATTCTTTCACGTGTTGAACTGTAGCTATGATGTTTGAAAAATTCTACAATTTAATCAGGCCCGTAGCCAGGTTCTTCCAAGGGGGGGGGGGGNNGGGTTCTGGGCGTGAGGTCCACAGTCGAAGCCCCGGTGGGGTCGGCGAAACCCCCAAAGCAAGAGGATTTTTTTGCTTTATGGGTCTAAATAATGCTATAAAAGCAGATGTTGGAAAATGTCTGTGTCTGGGTGAGTCTGCAATGCATTATTTGGGTTGGAGGACTTATTTGGGAAATTTAAAGAGGGTGTCTCGCCAGAAAAGAGGGGGTTTGCTAGAAAAGGGGGTTCGGCCGAACCATAACCCCCCCCCCCCACCTCTGGATACGGGCCTGTTAATTAATTGGAGATGAGAGCGATACTAATTAATTTTGATAATTTTTGCATCGTTATTTTTGCGCTTTAAAGCATAGCATATTCACCCTGATAATACCAGATGCTTGTCAAGCATTAAACATGCCAGTATTATTTTACATTTGTTGAATGTATTTCGAATTGCAGACTTTATCATCTTGTAGTTCTCTCATGATGAGAGGAGGATAAATATTCAGTCAAAATATCATAGTTGATTGTTTTAAACCTGACAAATTAATTAAGAATTTAAAAGGGTAACTTAGCTCAGTTGGCTAAACGTGTGGTACCTACTGTGTGTGCACTGAACCGTCAGATTTTTTAGTTGTTGAATTATATTTGCCCTGTCTCTTATACACATCTAGATGTGTATAAGAGACAGACTGTACACTTTATCAATAGCGGATTTAGGAATTTGAAAAAAAATGTGGGCCCACATCAAAGAAATTCAATCTAATAATATTTTTGTTATTATTATTGTTGTTCTTGTTATTTCTTTATCATTCTCATCCTTCTGTTAGGACTAAATAATTGTTTGCGAAAGGCGCATAGAGCTCAATGTGCAATAGGCCTATGCTTTATATACTATGTATCACATTATTACAGTATTGTTATTATTATTAGGCCTATTATTATTACTACTATTAGTATTTTTGTTGTTATTATTAATATTATTATTATTATTATTATTATTAAAATCATTTCAGTAGAAGAATGCTTAAATTCAGCTTTAAGTCATTTAATGTAGTTTTTATATATTTTAATTTATTACATTTAAACAAATTGATTTTCAGAGCTTTCCGATGAAGTGTTTAGACAGCTGTTGATGGACGTTTCCAAGTGGCTTGATGATCGTAAATGCATCAGCATGATGAAAGTTTTATACAGGGACCATTTGAAAAATACTACAAAATTATTTAGTGCTTCTGAGATGATAGATTTATTAAATATGTTGCGTGATTCTGATAATTTGGCTCCAAATGATCTAAAAATCCTGTACGATACTATAAAGGTAACTCATTTCTTTGCTTTACAAAGAGTAATTAAAGATAAAGTACCATCGTGCCCAAATATTAAGGAAATTAGAATTTCAACATTCACAACTCACCGACAAAAACTGATCAATTTGGGATTGAAAATGTCCGAAGAACAGGTAGAAGTTGTCAATGGACTGTATAATGATACAAAAAAGAACTATGCAGATAACTGGGGCTTGATTTCTGACCTGGAACAGAGGAATATCATTTCTGAAGATAAGATGGAGACATTTATGGAAAAGTTAAAACAAAATACATACCTCCAAAATCTATATGCAGGTATATCATTTTCAGTATTATTTTATTTATTTTTTATTTAAAAACATATTTGTACAGAATAAGTCTGCTTTTTAATGGTCCTGTTTTAGACTTACCTAATAAAATATAACAAGTATTAATAGGCATAGGCCAACATTACATAACATCAATACAAATATTCAAACACTATTTGCAAAAGGGTCTTGTTTCAGATTTCAGAAAAAACGAACAGAACTGCACAAAAGCATCAATTTATCAGCTACAAAAAATAATAATTTGGCTTATCAATTTGAAAAGCTTCAAACTATTATACAGCTTCAAACTATTATGTAAGGGGCATAATCACGTCTTTCCTCGAATAATTACCAATTCAAATTTCTAATCAGATTCATTCACTTTTGATATTCATTTTTCCCAGCTTTCTTCAATCTTAATTTCTCAGCTTTTTGCACTATTTTATCTTTTTCCCAACTCTCTTTACTCGTTATCAGCTTGTGGACTTGTTATCTATATTTCTGCACTCTTTCATTTGATTATCTTTATATATTCCCGTCATTCTTTATGACTCTATCTAATACCTTCACTATTATCTAAACAAGCCATGTAGGCACTGTCAAACACTTGCAGATTACTAAGTTCGTTTGCCTATCCGACGCTAAAAGTTCTTCAACTTAAGCTCAGACTCATTTATGCTGTCGAGAATTTCCTACTATACAAAACTAAAATCGATTTTAACAGTTTGAGCGCTAGTGACAAGCATATAGTTTTAACTGGCGCTAAATAAATAGAATTTATTATTATAAACGGTATACCAGGGGTGGCTCCAGCGCCCCCCCCCCCCTTATCGGGGAGAGCTGGCTCCCCCGGAGTTACTCAGATTAATTCACTATACTAATTTCAAAATTTCTCACTTTTTAAATTTTTACACACCTCACTCAACTAATTTCCAAGAATTCTTTACTCTTCAGCATGCTGCACTATTTCTGGGCTTTCGAGAATCGTTTTATACATTTTGTAGATTTCTGCACTCCTTTATTAACGTTTTGTATTCTTTCATGTTTTTGTACCCTTTTCTTAGCTTTTTGCATTTCCTACTTAGGTAGCTTTTAACACTATTTTATCTTCATTTGTTTTGTTTTTTTTAATTTTTTTTGGCACTTCTCAGCTTTTCCATTTGCTTTGTGGATTGCTGAACTCCTTTTTTTTTATCTTCCTGTACACCTTTCAGCTTTCTGCACTGCTTCATCAGCTTCTGTACATTCCTATTTATTAAAAAATATTCCTGCTTATTGAATCAGTATTTTCAATAACAATTTTTTTTCTCATCAGAACTGAATACTATTCCAGTTGAACCTAAACTGAAAAGATTACATCCGCCACACACTCAAGGTATATATTTTCCTATTTTTATACACAATTTCAACATTTTTCAAGGAGGTAAATTTTATAAAAGATTTTTATTATAATATTTAATGTTCCATTGTATTATGTCCATTCAATTCTCATTTGTTGCGATAGTCAATCAGCTGCCAGTGCAAAATCAATACTTAGATGACAGTGTTATTCCTTTAGCAAAGATATTCTACTTGCCATGCCAGATGTACTAACTCACTTTTATTGTTATAATATGAAGTGGTCCTCGTTGTTTTAAGAAATTCATAATGTAATAATTATCAAAACACATAGTAGGTTAATTCCTCATTCTCCCAGTTTTCTTCAATCTTAATTCAGCTTTTTGCACTATTACTTTTTCCTTTTCCTCATCTCTCTTTACACTTTATTAGCTTGTAGACTGGATTTTTGCCCAAAGACAACTGGCATAGGACAGACTGCCAGACCGGAACACTAACATTAACAGGAAAACCGTCAGGCTCTTGACATACGTTGTTTAATTTTTTCAAAATTCTGAATGTGACCCGGTGGAATGGTAGCCAAGAAAGAACCCCAAACTCAATAGTAGGACGAACAAGAGCATTGTAAAATCTAGGTATTATAATAGGATTCCTAGAGCAAACAATCCTCCTGATAAAACCAAGAAGGCGGGAAGCCTTGTTTGAAACATTATTAAATATGAGCATTTGAAGACAAATCGTCAACTTTGTGCACCTCTTTAAGTTCCTGTCCTACATTCTAAATCACACTTTCAATATTTGTTTTTTCTTTATCTCATCAGAACTTGAAAATATTCAACCAGAAAATAAACGAAAAAAAATAGATCTGTCACACTCCCAAGGTACAGTATGTGAAATTTTCTTAAAGTTTGTATTTTTATTTGCAGTTTTAAGAAATATTTTTCTTATTATTTCAATGCTTAGGCCTAATTGTAGCATGTTTACTTGATCCTCATCTGTCGTTGGAAGTAGACAGTATAAACACTACCATTACCTTTAATGAAGTGATGATTGCTGCAGCAAAAAATATATTACTACCATGAAAGATGTACTGACTAAATTTTCAGTGCCAAACTTTCCGTCGATTCATTGAATTCATAATTTAGAACCTATCATATCTCTTTTTTACTATTGAAAGTAAATTTTCGCTCAACCTTAAAATTATGAAGACAGTTTAATCTAAATTATACCATTTAATTTGTTTATTTCTATACCGGTATGTATTTTCTCCAACGTGTTAGTGAAGATATAGACAACTCATTATCAATAATATTTTATTATGCAGCAATTACTTTCACGACTTTGGGTTTTTTTTTTTAGTAGAGTTAAGATTATAACATTAGTATCATCATCAACCAGTACCACCAACAGGGTATGGGGAAGGGGAAAATCCACGGGGGCCAAGCTTACCAGGAGGCCCATAGAAATCGCGGGTAGCATTTTTTTCAATATTTTTTTCAAAAATAATAATTTCTATCATGAGCCCTCAATAATGGCATGGGTCCCCTAATAATGGACCCTCCAGATTGCCAGGCCCCCCTTCGGCGCAATCTTTCTCGCGTTGTGCGCTCGTAACTGGGGCCCACACCAACCCTTGCCCCTGTTACATTTTTCCCTCTTGGTGGCTCTCTCATCATCATCGTTATTTCTAATTATATAATTATCGTCATCGTTATTGCTTTCAGATAACACAGCTCAAAATGAAGCTGCAACCTTAGATTCAGACACAGAAATGAAGACGCATGACGTTTGCGAAAAAGACGATGATGGTAAGGGTACGGTAATATTTTTAATGTCTATAAGCCAGATCTCTCTTTTCAACAGTAGCAAATCAATAATGCGATTAGCTATTTGCCACTAGTATTCGAATATTTGTTTGTTTTCTTTACATCAAATTAATATTAATTATTATTTCTAATTATATAATTATCGTCATCGTTATTGCTTTCAGATAACACAGCTCAAAATGAAGCTGCAACCTTAGATTCAGACGCAGAAATGAAAAAGCATGACGTTTGCGAAAAAGACGATGATGGTAAGGGTACGGTAATATTTTTAATGTCTATAAGCCAGATCTCTCTTTTCAACAGTAGCAAATCAATAATGCGATTAGCTATTTGCCACTTGTATTCGAATATTTGTTTGTTTTCTTTACATCAAATTAATATTAATTATTATTTCTAATTATATAATTATCGTCATCGTTATTGCTTTCAGATAACACAGCTCAAAATGAAGCTGCAACCTTAGATTCAGACGCAAAAATGAAAAAGCATGACGTTTGCGAAAAAGACGATGATGGTAAGGGTACGGTAATATTTTCAATGTCTTATAAGCCAGATCTCTCTTTTCAACAGTAGCAAATCAATAATGCGATTAGCTATTTGCCACTTGTATTCCAATATTTGTTTGTTTTCTTTACATCAAATTAATATTGATCAAAATTAGATTTACTCCTTATCAAATCCTATAAATGTAAATGCTTAGGACGTAAGTTTCTTTGTTTTCATTGAATGTTCCTAGTCGAACTCACAAGAAGAACTTAATTTATGTTCGTCTTGGCTGGTAGACGTAACAATTTCAAAGATTAGCAGTTACATTTAATAATTTAAGTTGTTCAGAAGAAATTGGTATCTTTTTTGATAGTTTATTTTTGATAATCTTTAAATTATGACAGTGTAATGTAAAATATACCATTTAGTTTGTTTCTTGGTATATGTAATTTCTCCATCGTGTTAGTGGACGTATAGACAAATCATTATCAATGCTATTTTGCTATGCATACATTTCTTTATAAATTCACCACTTATGTTTTTTTTTTTGTTTTTTTTATTGGATTTTTTTTTATTGGAGTTAGGATTATAACCATGTACGTTTTTATCATCATCATCATCACCATCATTATTATTGCTATCATAATATAACTATCGTAATCGTTATTGCTTTCAGATAACACAATTCAAAATGAAGCTGCAACTTTCGATTCAGACGCAGAAATGAAGACGTATGTTTGCGAAAAAGACGACGATGGTAAAGGTAATACTTGCAATTCTTATAAGCCAGATTTATTTTTGCAACTGTAGCAAATCAATAATTAAATTAACTATTTACAATTTATATCTATTCCGATATTTGTTCGTTTTCTTTACATAATCATCAAATATTGATCAGAATTGGATTTACCCCTTAAATCCTAGAAATGTCAATATTTAGGACGTAAACCATGCACTGTATAAATTGCGAATGTTAGTACTTGCACAAAACTTAATGCTAAGTTAGGGTTAGGCCTACATTCCTATTTGAAAAAGTTTTTAAAATTCTTTATAGTGGTGTACATGTTCAGGGTGAGTGTGATTTTTTGAAACGCCTTCATATCGGATTCTAAAAACGCAAGTGTTACAATGCCAGTGCCTCCTTTGGATAAAAAAAAAATTATTAGGGCTAGACTTTGTTGTGAATTGCCAGTTTTTAGTGTCAATTGATTGGACTGGTAGACTTAATTATTTTTGTAATTAATGTGAAAGATTTTATCTGTATATGAAAGGACTGTGTGGACTATAATATGGCTGATTACATGTTGAATGAATATTAGCACACAAGTGGCAACAAAATATTCAGTAGGTGGAGTGTTTTAAAAAATATTTAAATGATTATAATTGGCTGAGAGCAAATTAGCTTAGTGCAAGAAACGCCAATACAAATTTTAGACATATAAAACGTAAATAATTAAGTTGACTAGGCCTACCCTGAATTCACTGTTCATTATTCGATAACAACATATTTTGACAAATAAAATCAGAAGACGTCATAATCATGGAAAAACATTAAAATCGTTGTAGTAGCAGCAATTTTATCGTTTTCCATGATTATGATGTCATGTGATTTGATTTGTTAAAATATTTTGTTATCGTATACATGATAAATCGTTATCGAATCGTCCTAGTGTAAAAAAAACTTCTCTTAATGTTATCGTGAGAGCATAGAATTGTAGTATTGCTATAATTGCCTTTAAATAAAGAGTTGTTTAATTGTTTTGGTGTAGACTTTACCATCATCGTAATAAAGGTCAAATTAGTCTTAATACAGTGTCTCGTCTGTTGTCCGGATTACATTGGTTAAATTAGGATAATGCCTACCTCTGTAGCATTTTATTTAATGTCAATATTTGAGTACTTTGTAGAAATGTTTGAAACGTTGTATATTTAAATTGCTAGAAATACCATTGCTAATTATAATTTTGTATTAAACAGAAAAGGTAATAAAAGAGGAATCAAAGAAGCTAGAGTTGAGACAGTATCAGAGAGAGTTAGCAAAACCTGTAATTGCTGGCGATAACACAATCATCATATCACACACCGGGTCTGGAAAAACTATTGTAGCTGTCCATTTCGTCAATGAACATTTCAAAAAGGGACAAGACTTGTCTAAGAGTAACCTGGAGGCGGGGGTGCCTTTTGAGAACAAGACCAAAAAGGTTCTCTTTATTGTAAACACGGTAATAACATTTTATGTTTTTAAAGAATGCAGATTATACATGTTGTTTTTACAAATTGACATTGCAGCTATATTGAATTTTGACTGTGTGTTTAATGGGAACGATTTTTTATTGGATATAAAGAAACATTTTTGCCACATACTTGATAAGCAGACGTGGTGCAGTAGTAAATGTGTTACCCTCTTTTTTTAAATATCTTAGACACATTTGGCACAACAACAGTACGAAGTATTCAGTAGTTACCTGTACAATTCACTGAGGCTCAGTGTATACAGTGATAGGTCTGCAGCATCAGCTCTAGCATCATTGAAAAGTGTGACAGATAACAGTGATATCGTCTTCTTAACCGCACAGTTGGTAGTGAATGCACTTGAAAAAGACGACGTCACCATTGATGATTTCACAATGCTCGTGTTCGATGAGTGCCATCATTGCCATGTGAGAAAATTATTGATTGCCAACATCTCAATGTCTTGCTTGTTATTCAAAGTCAAACGCTTTAAATGAATCTCAAAGACATACTTGTATAACAGTATACTGTTCTCTGGGCAAGAAAAAGTACATACAATTGAACTTTTAAAAAAAATAAGAATACCAAGAAATAATATAATTATCTTTTGAAACAAATTCTTTTATGGAACACTTAAACATTTACATATCTTTAACAAGACGAAGTTAATGTAAAAATGTTAATATCTACTATAATACTTTTTCTGCATCTATCATATATTGTTCAGATAATAATTAAAAAAAACTACCTTAATATTTTAAAATTTCTTTTAATATTTTTTAAATAGATAATAACCTATACATTTTTAAAAGCAACATTTTTTACTACGATTTTCCCTATCACAGACAAAGAAGTTACACAGTGCAGAAATTTAAATATATATAATAATAATTTTTCTATATTATTTATATATTTTTTGACAATAATAAAAAAAACCACATTAATATTTTTAAAATTCTTTAAATTTTTTTTTTATCTAAACAGACATATAAACTTCTACATATTTCAAACAAAATGTTTATTTAAAGAACACCATTACTAAATTTTTTATATATACTTCATTGTAAATTAATTAATATTTGATACATTGTTTTTGTTTGATTCCATGGAAGCTAATTTTATTCTCAAATATTTGAAATCCTTTCATTTTACAATAATTTCTATTAAATCCATGACTTCATGTCCTCCTCCATTGGGATGGAATTTGGAAGGCTACGAGCATGCCAAGAATTGAAGCAGAGAATTTCAATTTCCCCATCATCATTATAAAGATCGCTGATCAATTCATTTCTCCATTAGGCAGAGAAACATAAAGACATGGTCTACAATTTATACTGATGATGCAATAGTTCCAAATACATATCAAGATAATTATTTACCTCATCAAGTTTGATGAGTATCATTATAAAATTGAGGAACATTTTTCCATGTACACATTTGGTTTGCTTTCACAATAATTACAATTAAAAGTTAATTATACTTCCACCATATGGAGCGATAAAACAGACTTTTTCAAGCTAATATACTATATTGGTAACGTTGGCTCAACCGAATGTTAAGTGATTTGAATACAGAATAATATCAACCATTTTCAGCCCTCCATTCTCCGTATCACCAATAAGCACTTCTCTTTTATTAACACCCTTGCCACCCTTCCATAAAAAATTCTCAATCGGATTATTTATATTACCAAATAAATAAAATGACTCGGAGAGAGCACAAATGTTAAAACTAGAACAATTTTACCGGACAGAGTCAGCTGACTAGTTTTCCAAATATTTAAAATTGTATTTAACTGTTTGATTTTTAGGTTGTTAACAATAATGCTTAAGTGTATTTCCAAATATTTTTGTTCCAGGGACTCGATCCTTACAACAACATAATGTCAAAGTATCGGCAACAAAAAATTGAAAACAAGACAGGAACGTTACCACAGGTATCTATTGTATAATATATGTTTGAATCATGATTGATAATCAATACCAGTGAGGATCGTTTAATTCACTCAGTTAAAACCAGAAAAATCAGATATCACTATCGCAGGGCCAACATAATATTTAGCCAGTTGATTGATGGTCAGGGCCGGTACACATATTCTCTATCAATAATGTATTCATGAGTAACTTAATTCATCATTCTAGATTTGAGCACTAGTAAGCCTCCTATTGCCATAACCATGCCTTGTGACATTATAATATATCTGTTGGGCATTAGTTGGAGTTGTAACCCAAGTACGTGTACTGTCCCACAGAGAGGTTATTTTCTCGGGTAGTCTTGTATTCTTTCCCCGATTCTATCAAGTTGTTCTTCCTTGATATACAGTTTAAAAACACCGTCTTTTAGAAGAGATGTGCCAAAAAAATAAAACTTATTTCCATTTGGGTCCTAGCAAATATAATTGCACATTTTAACATGACAGAAAACAATCTGTTTAAATGGCATAAAATGTACTCAAACAGAAGATAAAATGGCAAAAAAAAAGAAGATAAAAACAAAATTCTTTAAAGCCAGCAGTAAAATTACAAATAAATATAACTGTTTCTTAATTACGGCACTGAACTGTGACTGTTTGCAGCGGCTGATTTATATAATGATTCAACTGAAATGTTCTTATTTTTCATGATGTTGATATTGTGTTTCTTTTGTCACAGATCGTGGGGTTAACAGCGAGCATAGGGACAGGAAAAGCCGATCGTCAAGAAAAATCAGACGAACATGCAAGACAGGTTTTTGCAAATCTTGATGTTAAAGCCGTTTCCATTCCAAATGAAAATGACAAGGAATATCAGGAGTTTGTTAATCCACCCGAAGAAAGTAGGTCTTTTTGTGGTTAGATATTATAATTAAGTATAATGTCATATATCGAGTATTTAATGGGAAATAATACTGTATAACAATGCCTTATTGAATTCAAATGAATGTATATTTGTCATCAGTCTTATTAATATATTTCATTTTAGTTGATCCGATATTGGTCAAACCACGTTCAGATGACAATGACCCATTTAAATCTGAAGTAAATAAAATAATGTTCGACATTGAAAAGATGTTGAAACAGAGATTGGAAAAACAAGGTTAGAATTTCTCTTTACACTATGACACACATACACACTCTGAAATTTTGTATTCTTAAGTTTCATATAAAATAGTTAATATATTTGTATACAAAACATTCAAAGCACTTCTGGATTTATAGTATAACATTATTAATGTAGGCAGTAGTATGGTTGCACTGAATAGTATGCAAGAAAAAAGAGTTTCTTTCATTTTATGGAGTAAATTAATACTTTGGGGCTGAATAAAAATGTTAAATAACTTTTAAAAAGGATGTTTATTGCAAGTTACATTTATGAAGTAACAATTAATTATATCCCTTTTACGTCTATAGATAATAAGTCTCAAGCATATCAAGATTTGCTGAAGTTAACAGCTTGTGACAAAGGAACTAATGCTTATGAACAAGAAGTTGAAAAATTTACATCTAACTCGCCACAGTTCATCACAGATCACATTCTCTTACGTTTGTTGAGAACAGGGGGAGAATATTTAAGGGTTAGTATTAAAGATATAATAATGGATATTCTATACAGTGTGTGGTGCAAATAACGTAACTGCTTCTCTTCACAGGTATCTATAAACAAATCCAATAAAAAGTTTTCGAAAGGGCGCCATCTATTGGGACATTCTCTGTTTGTACAATTCCAACATTCACATTTGTAGCGGACGATACGTAAGAATCTCTCGCCGTAAGTCATCACCTGCATGCACCGTAACGTACTGGTACTGGTACTGGGTCAAATAACCATCAT